ATAACCTCCTTGTTCTCCAAAATAATGGAATCCATTGTTAATTGCCAGCTCTTGAGGTATCTAGAGGGCCACCAGCTGATTAGCGATTATCAGTCTTTCGTCGTGGTCGTTCGGCTGGTGACCTTCTTGTATACCTTACACATAGATGGGCAGAGGCAATTGAGTCCAAGGGGGAGGCGCTAGCGGTTAGTTTGGACATAGCGAAAGCCTTCGATCGGGTGTGGCACAGAGCACTGCTCTCGAAGCTTCCAGCCTATGGGCTTCCCGAGAAATTACGCAATTGGATCTCCAGCTTTCTGGCCGATCGGAGCATCAAGGTCGTCATCGACGGAGCATGTTCCGACCTAAAACCCGTAAACGCTGGGGTCCCACAAGGCTGTGTTCTATCCCCGACCCTATTTCTTCTGCATATCAATGATATGTTGAAACTTAGCAACATTCATTGCTATGCGGATGACAGTACTGGGGATACTTTTTACACTGGCCGGGCAGGTATTTCTCGGGCAGTTGTTGATGAGTACCGGAACAAACTTGTGTCTGAAGTTGAAACTCTACTTCGTGGAGTCTCAGATTGGGGCAGACAAAACCTAGTCCAATTTAACCCCAAGAAGACACAAGTTTGCGCGTTTTCCGCTAAAAAAACACCCTTTGTCGCTACTCCTCTTTTCGAAAACACTCTTCTTAAAGCCACAGCCAGCATTGGAATACTTGGCGTTGACATATCGAGCGACGTTCAGTTTCGCGGTCACTTGGAGGGAAAGGCTAAATTAGCCTCCAAAAAGCTTGGTGTGCTCAGTAAGGCGAGACGGTACTTCACTCCGGGCCACCGCATGCAACTATATAAAGCGCAAATTCGGCCCCACATGGAGTACTGCTCTCACCTCTGGGCGGGGGCTCCCCAGTACCAGCTCCTTCCACTTGACCGTATACAACGCAGAGCGGTTCGAATCGTTGACGACCAATCCCTCTCCGAGCGGCTTGATCCTTTGGCGTTGCGTAGAGAGTGGCACTGTACGGCATTTACCATGGAGAGTGTTCAGAGGAGTTGTTCGGATTAATACCTGCAGCTGAGTTTCATCATCGGACGTCGAGGCAGAATACGAAATTCCACCCGTATCACCTCGACGTCCGACGTTCCACAACTGAGCGTTTCTCAAGGCAGTTTTTGCCGCGCACCACCACTATGTGGAACCAGCTGCCCACTGAAGTATTCCCGAACCAATTCGACTTAGGGTCCTTCAAGAAAAGAGCGTACCAATTTTTAAAAGGCCGGCAACGCACTCGCGAGCCCTCTGGCATTGAGAGTGACCATGGGCGGCGGTATCACTTAACATCAGGTGAGCCTCCTGCCCGTTTGCCCCCCGTTCTATAAAAAAAAAAAAAAAAAAATAAGAATATTGTTAATATATATAATTAGAATAATAAAGAATATTTATTGTTATATGCAAAGTAATTATCACTACGTTAACCGTTTCTCTCAGTCCTCTTACTTTTTATACATTTAAATAATTATAAATAAAACTGTTGCCCTAAAACATTGTTATTAGATATCTTTAGTTACCCTTTACGACAGTTTCGTCATGTATTTTCATATCACATACAATAGGTATCTATGTATGGCTTGCTGCCCGAAAACTTTCATTTAACTCTTAAAAACACAGAACGTTGTTCAAGTTTTCCATATAAAAATATATCGTTACTATTCTGTAACGTTACCATATTCAACAAAACGATTCGAATTGTCGAAGAGCAATCACTTTCCGAGCGACTTGAACCTTTGGCGTTGCATAGAAATATTAGATCTCTGCGTCTTCTACCGTATTTACCATGAAGAGTTTTCAGAGTAGTTGTTCGGGTTAGTTTCCTTATCGGACGTCGAGGCTGAATACGAAATTCCACCCGTATCAACCTCGGCATCAATCGTTCCACAACCGAACGCTTTTTTATGGCACTTTAAAGATACACTACCTCTATATAAAAGCAGCTGCCTACTGAAGTGGTTTGGAAATCCAATTCGACTTTTCTTGACTTTTCTCACGTTCCATGGGCAGACGTGTTTCTAAAATGTTAACTCTGATCACTGATTCAAGAGGTGACATTTACTACAATATTCCAACTATTGGTCATATAATAATACTCAAAGATAAATGCTCTTTCGAAAGTATGGACGATTGTTCAATATTTTTATTCTTTATAGTTCTTAACTGTTACCGTTAAGGTTGCCTTATGGTACATTTAAATTATTAATTCGATGATACATTAAAACCGTTTGATTTCCAAAGAGTTGTCGATTATTGAAATAATCTAGATTAAAATAATGAGTATGAGAGACGAAGGCCGTTCTGTAAACGTGTGTCTAGGCCATCGTCCCGCCAGTCTAGACTAGACTTCGAATGATATAATGGACATTGGTAATTTATATCTACCTACTCATGCCTAGGTTCAAAAGCAACCGGCAGTTCAATAGGAGTTCAAGGTTAGCCATTATATCCTGAATATTTCATTGCTAATATAGACTACATACTAAATCTACTTTGAGTTAGAAAAACTAGCGTTTAGGTGACGCATTAGTTTTGTGGACTTTAGACTTAAGACTAAAGTCATTAGTTTCTATCATTTTATTCCTACGTAATAAACGAGAAAATAATTTATTTTCATTTTAAACTTTTACAGCTGAATGAATGTTATCTAAACCTTTTAAATTCCTAAAAAATAGCTATAATATGTAGTTCTTAGGTTTATTGACTCTATGGTATATAATATGACGTGAATGTTAAAATATTTGTAAATTGTTAATTATTAAACAACCATATTAGATGAAGGAAGTAAACGTAGAACAGATACATGTCATGCAAACTCTTGCATATAATAATTGTCTAAATAAAATAAATTGTAATCAAATGCACACCCTGCTCTTCATTAGTGGTGTGAGATTTGAATCGCGTGTCGATTACATTAGCGAACGTGCCCCGACCAACAATACAGCCAGACGGCTACCGAAATTTGGGTTAGGCGCTTTTTTGCTCGGCGCGGGCGCCGATGGAAGCGTGAGGTCGATGATTCCAAGCCCCTCTCCCCCTACACTTGCCCCGCCAACCCCCACGACCAGTTCTTCCACAAGGTGCACCGCCCGCAGCCGCTAACCCTACATACCACCTGCCAGACTGTGCAACTATAACATATGTTGGTATAACTCAGAAGATCGACAGGAAGCGGCTGGACGTTTATATATTCATTTTGTTAAACAAGACTTTGTACCTACTGTGATTGTTTCAATTCTGGCACACGAAATATTTTTATCTGGTTTAAATATGATATTTAATAACTAAAAGACCTACATTTTTGGGTTTGTTAATGTCGTTATTATAATTATAAATAATTTCAGACACCAGTATAATTTACTTTGTTATAAAACTTCCGAATGTTCATGCTTCTATGAAATTAAATTATTTATTTAGCTTATTAAATTTGTATGCAAATTTCAATATTATATTAATTGAACTCTTTGAAGATATCTATTAAAGCTACGAAACTTTTAAGAAATAATATTCTTATATCTATACAATCTATTAATCTGAATGTACCACTTTATTTGCAAATAAACGATTTTTTATTAATATATATCTATAACACACGAAGCATTTATTTAAATTCATGCTTAAGTATGGAAGAAACTCTAATTATCGCTAAGTAAAATATATTTTATAAACACCTTTTTACCTAATTCTTCCGTAAATAAATAAATAAGAATCAACAACATTGTAAGATAAATATTATCCTTAATTTTGAAATCATAAGATTGACAAAAATAATGTATGGGCAGGATCAAAAAATAGTAAAAGACGTACACACGAAGCGTAACGGATTACGAAGAAATTTACAGACTAGGTGTAAATTCCCGACGTCATAGAAGCTCAGGGTTCGGTTGGTATTATAAAAAATAAAACATATAGTAGCTACCTAATCGTTGTTTTTCGCAAAACCTGAAAATCGACCTTTTAGAGGCGTACATGGCCGGCTACATTCTACAGCAAAGAGCTTTCAGCCCACAGACAAAACAAGTACAAACGAATTGCAGGTGTGGCTAAGCTCCCACGCCGCAATGGCGACAGCTGAATAAGCCTCAGTTAAGTTTGTAACATATAGAGAAAATTTTGTAATGAATGGAGAAACTCTCAATTCATCTCTACAATTTCATTTAAATCTTGACTATTTTACTGCTAAAATAAATGTTCTAATAAATTATTAGTCATTTTCTAACCAACTTCATTAAACAATTAAACGAAGTTTATCAGTTTGAGCTGTATGTATGTAATATTTATGGAATTGAAAAATTTTGAACATGATCTAATTAAGCTTCCAGGCCCGTGTGCCAAATTCCAAAAGTGTATGTTTCTAAGTTTTGTCCACCGATTTCTTGAATACTCTTTATTAGAGAACAGTCGGTGTTTCATCAAAATTAGTTTAATAGTTTTTGAGGCTTCCAAACATTTCTAGGGTATGAATGAATAAATTTATATATATTTGAAGTTTAATTTTTTTAAATCACTCTTAGGTATTGTCACTGGAAACCTTACTTTCTTAAGATCTACTGTCTCATACAATCATAAGTTTCTAATACGTGGAAATAAGTTCCACAAACAACCAAACAAAAGTATCTACATGATTGAGACGTTAATTTTTATTTTTTCATATAATAGTAGCAAAAATAAAAGTGTATTGTATTGTATCTCGAATGTAATTTACGGATCACTACCAAGGTCCAATTCTTTCGAAGGTTTTCGTGGTCCAACAGGAGACGCTCGTTTCATACCTTATTGCTTCTCTAAATCATAGACATTGGCTATTTGTCTCGCAGTGATTTATATCATGTACGCATTGAATTTCGCCAATAATTATTGCTGTACACGCAATTTATTATGGCTCTCGATCTAACGACAGTAACAATAAATATTTAACCCTTCGTCTGTGTAACACAATAGTGTGACACAACAGGAAACATGACAAAACAACAGTTTTGGTCAACCGCACAAATTAGCGACTACGCAGTAAGCATTTGAGGTGTCATATCACAAAGCGATTCGTGTCTAGACAGTACGTAGACACATTTTTAATAAGACCGCGGCTGTTTTCAGTTACCTGACTTTTGACACGTCATAACTACGTCATTGCTAAGTAAACATAAGTCAGATGTATCAAAAGTGATTAAAGCTACATTTTTAATATTAATTAATAAAGGTATTTTCTTTCAAAATTGTAATGACGTCATCTATAATTGGTAGTAAATATTCACTTTTGATAATTTATTTGAAGATTTTTGACAAAACTTATGTTTAAAAACCCATAACATAGCGATATAGTGATTTTACTGACTATTTAAGAAATCTATCTTAAAGTTACGCAATATAAAAATCTATAGAAAATTCATATATTGTTTTATTTTAAAGGATTAATCTTTAAGCCGGAAATATAAACTCGCCCAACGTAGTCCTGTACAATAAATGTTATAAGAAAAAATCTTGCATCAATTTACCAATATTTTTATTTTGAATGTTTACGGAAATTTGCTAACGTGACGTGACGCGTCAACGGTGCGTGTAACCAATGTAATCCAAAGCGTAAAAGTTGAGTTTTATGACCATCCGGGGAATGTCTGCCTATTTGCCAGTCGCGTTTCTAGACTATGACGAGTGACAGTGTCTAGACAGTGAATCCAGGAGGTCATGAGCTGGCTTTCACATATTTTCTCAAACAAAAAGGCTTTATTGCTACGTGATGTAATTTAGAATTAATGAACGCTTGTGAAACATTATTCAATTGTAGTTAAACATTTTTCGTTGTTCATAGGTCTGCATATGGCAAAGATACAACGCTTTTTCCCTGACATAGCTACTATTATATTTAACTTATATAATTGTTAAAAATCAATTAATTATAAAGTTAAAAGATTTTTGTTATAAGTTGTGTTTTTTCTATCTATAATTCATGATTATCTTAAGTATTTAGTCCTGGAGAAGTAAATAAAAATATGCTAGTTTTTATGTGAAGTTGGTAAAGGGAAGGCAGAGCTTGGCCCAGCGGGGATCGGTGCAAGCCGGAGAGGGGGGGAGGGGCGTCTAGACAGGCCGCAGACGCACGGAGGCTGCGCCGCGTCTGGCTTGCACGCACACAAACAAACGGTGCATCGGCCGATTTCACCCGACACTAACACAGAAATGTTGCAGTGACCTCTACAAAGTAGCCTTTTAAATTTTTACTTCACTTCTGGAAGAGACACTAAAACATCTCTTAAATAATATTGTTTTTATATCATCTCAAGCATTTAACATATCCCACCTCTACAAATGATACTATAGTTATTCTGTTTTTCAATGCAATTATACATACGCATTCATTTTTGGTACTTATATCTGTAAGTTTTGTCTGCACAAAAACCTCTTATGTAAACTTCTTATGAAATGTTTGTGTTTCTCTATTAATTTAGTAGTAAAAACATACGTTAGCGCAAAAAGCAAAACAGTATCAAGATTAAGTGTGATGTGAATTTTACATTAGGTATATTTAAATAAACGGACTCGACGGCCGCGATCTGACAAACAAAATTCATACAACTTTAAATTAATAATTATATGAATCATCAAATCAATAATTTTGAAAAAACCTAATTCAAACAAAGAACAGCATTAACAATGACTTATGGAAATGGTATTTTAATTAATCTGCGATAAATTTAAGTTTATTTTTCATTAAAATACCATTTAAAATTACGAATATTAACGTTTAAAATTAACAAAGAAGTCACTATAAGTACTAGAAGTGTGTGACTAATCTGCTATACTCTACATTTAGGTATATATTCATTGTATTACACACATTCTTTTTTGATTAGTCTCTTTTAAAACAATATCACATTGCTGCCTTGCGATTCTGTAACTAACTGTGAAAAGTGAGTTACAGAATCGCAAGGCTGTATTGATTAGGTGGGCTCATGTTTTATATTAAGTTATCCCTAATTAATATCAACTTATTCACTCTAATAATGAATATTTATAGGATATACGTTTTAATAGATTTACACATGCATACGTATGTATGTGTAAATGTATTAATAATTAAAATAAAGGATGACAAACAAAGCGGCCTGTGCGATAGGAGCCCGCACCGGGTCGTCGCCCCACGACCGCACAGATAACAACTGATTGTGTTATTGTCTACTCTCCAAGCAGAACTCAAAATAAACTAGATAAAGAAGCTGTAAAAATATTTTTGTTATATTGTCGTATGAATATTTAGGAAATAATACTATAAAAAAAAACAAAAATCATTTATTCTATATCAATGGTATGTAATGGTAAAACATTAATATTGTTTTATTTATATAATAAAATTTTGATTGCCAAAGACATAATAAAAATTATAATCCGCTCCTACGTGAATGTGAAATTTAATTTTCCAACAGAGATTTAAACTCTTTTTGTGAACACTCTTGATAAAATAGATCTTAAGAGTAAATAAAATAGTGTCACAAAATAAATTATTTACAATTAGCTTGGATTCTATATGTATGTTGGTGCAAATCAAATCAAAAATCATTTATTCACGAGGTAACATAATGTACACTTTTGAACGTCAAAAAAAGAAATATACATTAAATGCTTCTAATTTTACATTTACTGCCAGTTCTCAAATAAAGGGCGTGGAACGGAAGAGAAAAACTGGCAATATACTCTCCGCCACACTTTTTAATCGCCAAGTTTTTTGTTTTACACAATGTTTGTAAGGAGCTGCAACCATTACACCATGTTTCACATAACATGTTAAGTAATTAAACTATTTCTGTTACCAATAGATTGTGTATGGTGTGTATCTGCTTACATATAAATCTAGTACGTAGAAAAAGTTAATATTCAAGAATGTTTTTTGTCGTTTTGTTTTGTTAAAGTAAAATGTCAATATATGTAAGTTTATTAAACATATAAATAAACCAGATCGATTAAAATTACATACAGTATTTTCATTCCATATACAGTGTGTATAATCTGAACGTAAACTCCTTGGTGTGATAAGAAACTACGTCATACATGACATTGTGCTAAATTGCACAAAATATTCGTTGTTTTGAAGAATTAACTGACTCTATATCGGATTTTTTATAGCACAGGGGGGCAAACAGGTAGGAGGTTCACCTGATTTAGAGTGAAATATGCCCATAGACACTTAATGCCAGAGGGCTCGCGAGTGCGTTGCTGTTTTCTTGGAGGACCCATATCAAATTGGTTCAGAAATTAGATAATTTCAAAGACATATCAAAAGTGAATGGTTAGAAGAAAACCAAAAACTTACATACATATATCCTTATGAGGTTACCTATAGTTTCATTATGCATACTGTATCCTGATGCGGTCTTATGTGCCTAAGTACATATTTGAATAATTCATTGATCTATGTCACTGCAATTAGTGTTTAATAACGTTTGTTTAAATTTATATGCATTGTGTAACATCCGGGCATTGATGTATCAAATATACATGGTCACTGTTTATACGAACTGCAAAAAATTCCGATCATAGATATTCTAGTCTATTGTTTGTTTTTGTTTGGTATTAACCATGACATGTAGTGTCTAGCTTTCTGAACTGTACAGTGTACATATACATAATAACATTACGAGTTATGAATACTAGCTGCCCATTCATTACATTTTATACGCAACATAGATAGCATTAGAATAAAAGTTTACAATAAAATACTTTTTATCAAGTAATTAAATCGATGTATGGAAATTCTTACACAATTATAAAATAAATAGTTTGGTAGAAATTAAGAAATTAAGAAACTACTTAACTATTAACAATAAACGGCTCAAATACAAGAGTAGTTACTAGAGAGACTAAAGAATTTCTGTAGGCGGCTGGTAGATAGTACCGGTGACCCCAGAGCCAGTGCTTTCCTCGCGCAACGAATAAGTATCACAATACAGCGAGGAAATGCTGCCAGTAATAAAGGTACCACAGAGACCAAACTTTTTAAATTTGTTTTAACAATTTTAATTATTATTATTACTATATAGGTAAAGAATATTGTAAATAGTTTTTAATATAAAAAGTTTGTGATATTAAAAGCTATTCTATCAACCTGCTACCTGAATATAAACCCACACACTAATGAAGGTTGAAACGGCGTTGTGCCAATTTCAAGTACATATTATTCATTATTTTTGTTTGACAAATAATAGTGTTACGATGTAACCTTTACCTAAATGCCTACTATTATAATGCAAGGAATACAACACAATTGATATTATCCAGATTACTAACAATAACATCAACGTATTATATATAATATTATTTAGTATTAAAATAATAACTTATAATATACAACAATTTAAGAAGTTTCACGTTTTAAAGTATAATCATTTCATTTTCAGTATCAAATTGTAGTATTTCAGGTTTGGGAAAGGTGTAGTATAAAAGACATCAACGCGTTTTTAACAAAATAATGAATATGCTAATATTAAAATTTAACTAAGTTTAAGGTAATCGAATAATTTTTATTCAAATTATTATAAAATGAAAATTATTAGATTCACTAATTACATTATTGCTTTATCCTTATATGGCTCCGTTTATTACGTAATAAAATAAATGTTATTGCAATAGGTTTTTAGTGCTTATAATAATACATAAGTACTTTTTCGATTGAAATAAAACCATGTATTTTACTATAGTATTTACAATTTATTAACTCGACAATTTCTCTGTAACCAAGAATGCCGAAAAGCAAGCAATGTTTATAGATATTCAATAAGTTTCATTAAGTATATAGTACTCCCATATTTCAAAGACCATAATTTCATTACAACTTAATTCGCGCGAATTGTAATGATATCTTATTGTTTCTGTGTTATTATGTACTTTATAACATAGAAAATGATTGTTGATCAGTCGCTGACGGCCCGGTATAATAAGTTTTTCATCGGTATAACAACCCACATATTATATTTAAAATCTTCCACTAATCCAAAAATAAACGTTTAATATACAGAATAATAAAGTATTGGAAAGTAAAAAGAAACTTCAGGACTTTATTATATAAATACACAAAATTAAAAGAGTAGAGTTATACAGTCTATGTCAAATGCCCTTGCTTCGGAATCGGAGGTCTGACCAATTTTGGGTCACTGTCAGATGATTAAGTAATAAAATAACTGGCTAGTTGCTATTTACAGCTTTTCGTCTTAGAACCTTATAAACCCGACTGTAATTTTATTAACACACAACAAACGGGTTAACATAACATAATTTTACGGGAATAATATCTGATACCTGTATCTTATATTCCATAATAAACATATTTTAATTTTATTTTATTACGCCGACTTTTTCTCTCGGCCTACACCCTCTGTCTTCTTTGCCGATGAGTAGGGATGTCTACCTATTCAAATTTAATGACGTGGAGTAAGTGATACCTGTATCTTATATACTATAATAAACATTTTTTTTTTCATAATAACGGGTGTCCACCAATGGGTTTTTCCTTCTATCTTGTTATTACGATGTAGGAAAATATCATGAGGAAACAGGCATGCCCTAAAAATCTATCGAATAAACAGAACCCGATCACCTACTTGCCAATTAAGAAAAACCTCATAAAACAAATACTGAAATTATAATTGAAATGTAATACGTAGTATTTACATTTCCAGAATACCCATTAATTTATATGTACTAACTGCAAATATGTAACGTTTTTAAATTGCATTGTTTTATTTTGCAATTCATTATAATTGTTACCTAGTTGCTAGAAGTTTCCACAAGAAAACAGGTAATAATTATAACTATTTTACCCAACTTAAACTATTTACGTCTAAGAACCGCTTACATTCATTCACCAGCACTCCTAACCTTGACACAAATATACCACGTAACCAAGGTTTAAAGATTAATGTTAATAAATAAAAAAATATTCTATTGATAGGCTTCGTCGGCGCGTAATTTCGTGCAATAAGCTTGAAACATCACGGAGTTTTATATATAACTTATATATCTATAGATACCGGCAAACATCTTGAACAAATGCCGTTGCCTGCGCAGTAGTGATTTTTAGGTACTACTGGGAGTACGTAATCGGCGTTGGTAAATCAGTTGACGTTTTTGTACGATGCGCAAACTTTTACCCCACTACCTTGTTTAATGCTCAAGAAGTTTCCCGGTATCTGTATTGCCGC